CTGCAGCGTTTTCCTTTAATACAAGTGGACAGTCCTCTGTGTTTTTGCTCCTTTGGCCRTGTTGTTCTTGTTGTATTTGTATTTGTATTATATGTATTTTTTTCTCAAACGCCACAGCCAAGGCAACTTTTTTGTAGAGCACACTTGAAGCGGCTCTGTGCCAAAAACTTTGTCAAGGGTTTTCGCTTCGCACTCTAAACTCATTTTGATTTAGTCGTCGTTTAGTATCCTTTCACTGTGAATTTAGTTTATTTAACAACTGAATACATTGTTAAGTATATATGTGCAGGTGTATATATATTTATAATTTTTTGTAAAGCGACAGGTGTAAATGGGCGTAATTTATTTAGCGCTTTGCATTCGCTTTCAGCTGTGAGACACGACTCAGGTGTGAAAATCCTGGAAATCGCCGTCTTTAAGTCCCCAGGCAGCGCATTTAAATGCAGACACATTAAAGGCGTGGCAGCTCAACTACAGCAGCAGCGGTCAGCCACAGTGGCTGGTGATAGATGAGACTTTAATGAAAGTGAAAATTTAAGTTAACCTTTGGACAAGTTGATCACAAATATTTTATTTTAGACTCGAGAGCTAGCGGCATGGTAGGTAATATTTAAATATTTAATTATCATTCGTCATTCGTTGTATATTCCTTTCTATCTGGCTTCATTTAAGCCAAAATAAAATGTTAGCTGAACCAGAAATAATTGTTTGCACGTTGAGGCAGGCAAGATGTATCTATGTAAGTCCTCTTTAAAGAGCCTAATTCGAGTAGTATATACATTTGAATTTATTTAGTTAACAAAGCTGATTCATCTAGAAATTGTTGGCCAAGTTTGACCAAATAAAAAAGACTTGGAGCTGAAAGCATTTTTTCTTCGAAATTACTGCGTCTAATTTATTTGCACTTCACTTTGCGGCTCCTGGCAAACACTTGAGGAGCCAACGCGAAGACTGAAACCGAGGGTATTTTTTCGGCAAAAATAAAGAAAGAATATATATATAGATATAAAAAAAAAAAATGTAATCCACATTTTATTAGACAGCTTAAGAGCGACTAAAGCGCATTCATAAAAACAAGCCCAAGTTCTGGCATAATTGCCAGCAAATTAGTTTGCTTTTGCGTGCTGCACTTGAGCGAAATAATTCGCATGCATTTTCTTGGCGAATTGTCTGCGGGGCAGCAGGAGGTTGGCTTTTTGATTTAAATTTGCACATTCAGTTTTTTCCGGTTGCTGCTGCATCTTTAGTAATTTTTGCACATTTTTTTTTTTTTTTTTTTTTTTTTTGTGTTCTGCGAAAAGTTGGTCAGCTGCCTGGCTTAATTAGAGTTCGCAGTGAGAGTCCGCCTGGGAGCTGGGACTGACGCTGCGGCTTCGCCTTTTCTATATCTTGTAATGCCATATGTCCAGTTGGCAGTCGAGCTGAGTTAAACACAATTACACATTCCATTTTGCTCCTCTTCTCTCTTACTCATTTTGCTTTGCTATGTAATTTTGCTCTATTCTTTGCAACTTTCACTTTCCTGCAGTGCGTTGGCTATCTGCTTGCTCGCTCTTCGAGTGAGTGGAGCATATTGGATGCCAATTGGCAGAGTAAACAGTTCACAAACATTTTTTTTAGTTATTCCCACTAAGAGATCTACTAATGAGAAATTTGTAATCTATTTTTTTTGTTCTATTTCCCTTCTTCAAGCAATTGTTATTCAAGAAGCGAGCATTTCGCAGTTGTGAACACTCAAGTGCAACGTACTTTTCGAGCTTATCTTCCTGGTAGGCGTGGCATTTAAAAGTAATGCTCTGCAAAATGCAATTATGTAAATGCCTGCAGCGCAGAAATCGAAGTTAATTAGGTCGTAACTGTGGTGCAAATTGTAACTCCCCCGGCGGCACGAGCCGCTCGACGGGCACGGGGCAAATTGCTCGGATAGGAATTAGTGAAGCACAAAATTGAAAGGGTCATAAAAATGTCAGCTCTCTGGCTCGGCATGAAATGTTGAACATGAAAAATGCCAAGCGGCCTGCGGGCAAAAAGGTTCATAATATAGTTAAGTGGATTTATTGATGTGACTTTCGGCTCTGTGTGCTTGGCTTGGCATCTCAATAACGATTTCCAATTTAAAGCACTAACGAAATCCAAAATAAATTCAGTTTTAGCTACATAACAGTTCAAACGAATTGCGATTCTCGGCTCATGGATATATTTGATACCAAATAACAACGAATTTTGTCAATTGCCATTTGTATTGAAATGTCAATGAAATTGTATTAAATATGGTTACGATTTATTTTAAATTGTGCACATAGCATTTGGCACCTAGTGCGTCATAAATCACAAAACACATACAACTAGAAAGGGACCGAGAGAGAGAGAGAGAGAGAGAGAGAGAGAGAGAGAAAGAGAGAGAGAGAGGCACGTAAATAGTCAGTGGGGTAAAGGGAGCGCAATAAAAACATATATGACATGCTCATAAATGAATTGAGCTCTGATTTAGAACCATAACCAACTGATTTACATATGTACAAATATTTTTAATAATTGCAAACATGTCCTTGGCAAAACAAGTAGAAGTGCTTCATACAGCATTGCCAGACTAGGTGCTACCCTATATTGAAACAGAACAGAAAATATAAGTCTATATTATAAATGAACAGCAAATATAACTCTATATAATATTAGAATGTTTATATTTTATAAATAGTAGATAATGCTTCATTCTCATTTTAAGCATGGATTGAATATATATTGAATGTTACTTTCGAGCTTAATAGTCAAGAGCATGAGCATCCACAAAATTTAATATGTACATTTGTATATTTATACTACTCGAGAAGCGTAACATATTGCAAAGTAAGTTTTATAAGAAATCTATATACATACTAACAAATAGTTTTTGTTTAATATATTTATTTAAAATTTGAATATAAAAATTGTATACCTCAGAGACTTCCTAATAGAACCAAATCAATTTATGTATTCAACTGTCTCAAATGTATGCAAAAAATTATCAGATCCTTCCCAGTCAACTAATCGGTAAACAGGGTATTTCAAAAAATAAATATATATATTCATATATATATGAACGCTTGTCATTGGGCAAATAAATTAAATATATGGAATAAAATATGCACGCAGTTTGCTACATATAAATAGTTCATTTATAAGGGATTTGCATATTTTAGATACCTTTAATTCTCAATTCCCTTAACTGATAATTTCGGACAAGCGGAATTCCAAATGCATTATTTAAAGAGATTTTCGATTGTAATAAATATTTTGATTATGCATTTGCATTGCGAATTGCGAATTTTTACATTTTGCTTAATATGTGAGCAAACAAATGCAATTATGGGCATATAATTATAATATTTGCCAATGGTTAAATGCATTTAATTAAGCGCCTGCATTTGCCAAATTTACAAGTTTAATTGCGCATTTGTATACACATGGCTCGAAGGCATAGATAGCATGTATATGTATGTATATATTGGTTTTTCTGCCATTTCAGAAAATAAAATAAAAATTTGGTTCGGCTGGTTTGACTTGGCCCATTGATTATTTTTAGCACAGGGTCTGCTGGTTGGGGTCTTCAATTTTAATTAACTTGCAATTAAAGCGTAATTTATTGGCGCACTTTGATGGTCGTAAATTAGCTACTCGAACGACTTTCCAAAATGTCAGAGCGTGAGCAAATCAATTTATAAAAGCCCGTGCAAGCAAAAGTGAAGCCAAAAAAATAAAACACACGAAAAATTGAGAGCTGGTAGCAAGTCAGCAACGAAAGGTCTAAGGCCAAGTGAGGCGAGTTTTTTTTTTTTTTTTTTGTTCTGTGTGCCGCTGCGAATCGTTTTATGGGGCGTATGAGCAACCCACCACAGTGTGACTGACGTGTGACCCACAGAGAGCGAAGGGTAGCGAGCAAGAGAGTTGTGAAAAGAGTGTGAAACAGAAAAAGGTTACACGGTTTGTTTGAGAACTGGCCATCACCTTTAAACGTTTTTGCCCCACACGATGAAGAAGTCAAACAAGTCACTTAGCTGCTTCTGCAAACAGAGATGCAAAATTGACTGCCCCGAAAAAAATAGCAGTGAAAAAGAGAAGCGGAAAACTTTTGGGTTGGCCAGAAGCCAAACTGATTTAAGACTTTAAGTCAGATTGTGCACAGATATTGGAGAGGTGCACTTAGACTAAGTGAGAGAGAAAGAGATTTGTGGCAGGAAGTGTCCGATAAGAGCATCAAGCTGACTCTGCCCCATAGGGATTTCACGGATAAATAGCCGAGGGACTCGTGCGACTGATCAAACTGCATAGGTAATTAATAAACACAAGGAAACGGAACTCAGTCGAGTTGAAAGCAGGGGCTGAAGCTGATTTTGTGGTGGGCGGTCGGTAGATGGACACCAAATAGATGAAGATAAGTGGCTTCAAATAAAGTCTATGGGAATAGATATATATATTGTATATATTGGCTTTAACTTGTACGCAAATTGTCAAGCAGGCACTGTGCAGTGTTTGTAGTCTTTGAGAGAAAATATATATAAAGTTGTATAATTGTATATAAGGCATGAATATAATATTTAATTTCAATATAATTAACTAAATGCAATAAATTAATTACTTAAGAGAGCATATTGATATGAATAAGATAAAGGGTAAAAGTCCGAATGAATCTATAAAAAATATATATTCTGATAAAAAAAAATATTTACCAAAATATCTTAAGTTGAAGAGAACCATAAAAGTAACACATATGTATATCTATATATGTAGAATGAAAGGCAAGCAATGCTAATTTATGGTCTATCTTTATATATATCTCGTTAAATGATTTCTAGAAATTGCTCTTTGCTTGATTCGGGCTAAAGGAACTGCATGCATAAATCTATCTTTAAGTACATCCATCTACGGCAGAGAGCAGCTAAGAGAACCAAAAAGAGAATGATCTGAATCGTACGACAAATGCGAGACTAGCTGAAAAATATTCAGAACAGTTGTCGCTTGAACGTCGATCGTGCCGCTTGTGTTGCAGCAGCTGAACGTGTGGGAAATGCTGTTCGTTAGCATCTGAGAGATACATCTTTTGCACGGTCTAAAAATAAACGGCGAAACTGAAAAAGGGGGACAAAAACAAACGCGCGCGCCAATTGCAAAACATAGGGTCGGACCCCTAAAAAACCAAAACGTACAAATTTTATAAATATCAAGTTGAAAATGTGAATATAAATGGGAAATGGGAAAATGCCTATGTGAAAATGCAAAAGTGGAAACTTATTTATGCAATCGATTTGTGTATCCAAAAATGCTGTATTTATTTATCGGCGCGACAGCGAAATAAATATATAGTGTGCATATAGTATATATTCGGTCGATCAAACGTATCCACGATTCAGATCAAAGTGGCCCGCAAACATAATAAGCAAATCATGCGGAAAGCCCATTCCGTAAATTGGTAAATGCAAATTGCCAGAAATTGATAATGCGTATAATTTTTGCGATATTAAATCAGCAAAAAAATAAAATAAATAAAAAAATGTTAAATTTAAAAACAAACAAAAATAATGTGAGAAATCTGTGAGCAATGCAAATATTTACAGTTCGAACTGCAACCTGCAGGACTTTTATTGCAATTTACATTAATTAATGCGAATTTAAAATTTAATAAAAAAAGAGGAAAAAAAAAATTCATTTTGCAAATGCAAATCTGTTAAAAGCGTATAAATTTTTTGTTTGAATGTGCTGCTCGCCTTTTCCCACTTTGACGCACATCAACAGAATGTTTTCACTTAATTTTTATGATATTGTGTTGCAGATAAATATTTCATACGTTCAGATACTTATACAGCGAGCAAATAAATAAACAAAAGCGGGGAATATTGCAGCGATAAACTGACGTCAAGCGCTCGGTCAAGCCGAAGCGTGAATATAATGTGTTCTCAAAACACAATGAAAAAAAAAAGCAGAAGGAATAAACAATAAAATAAAATTCTACATTATGTGACGGTTGGAAATTTCATGCAGGAGGACGCTGAAATGAATAGAATCAGTTTTTCTTAGAAATTTTCACGTTTTGCTAGAAGTTTCCATTAAATTCTTGCTCACACCTTGGCAACTGACTCCATTGTCCTTTTTATACATTTCAAGCCTTCATGTTTTCTATGATTTTCTATTGTATAAAGGAATTTCAAAGTAATTTGATGCAGGAAATTCGTTTATCAACTGGAAAATATCTTCAATTGACAGCTCTCTATCTGTAAATGCCAAACAGATAATTGGACCTCAAAACTGCTGAATTTGTTGCAGATGTGTTTAAAAGGCAGAGGAATAGAACATGATTTTTATAAAGAAATTTATTTTTGACTCTAGAGTTTCCGTTTTAATTTGAATAGATCTGGAGAGTTCTTTGCCTTTCAATACAAAAAATCTTCTCATATTTTCTTGTTTCTTTAAAAATTTCATCTGAAAATATGTAATTACCTTGCTGTCAAGTAAAGCAAATCAAATTAAAGTTCAATGTGTCAAATGCTTGACAACTATCTGGCAGTAACTGGAAAAGTTCTAATCGAATTAATCAAAAGTCAGTTTATGACGAATTTCAAAGTTGCCGAAGTAAAAAGCTTTGCGAAGTGCGATTCAATATTTAAAAGATGCCTTCTTTGTCTTAAAACATATTCATATACATATATAAAATCATAACAGTATTTACTTCTAATTTCTTATGGAAACTGTCAGTTAACTTGAAAGTTCGCGTCGAATAAGTCGAACAAGTCAAATGTCAAATTTGCTAGAGTAAATATTTAACTGAAGCGCAATTCAATCTGCTTTAATATGAATTTATAGAAAGACACATACATACATATACATATATGTATGTCGCTGTATACATGTATCTTTGTATATGTTTGTTTATCATTTCTTTTGGAAGCTGTCAGCTTTTCAACTTTTCAGCAAATATTTGTCTAGTTCTTTGTTTAATTTGCAGCAAATGCATTAAATGCTCAGCCAATATTACACTGCAATCAATTGTGCTGGCAAATCCCTCTTAAATCTCTGACAATATACTCTGCCACACACAGACGCACATGCATATCTATTGCCATGGTGTAAACAATTTGGCATTAAAATAGTTGTCCGAGTCGAGCCGGGGCATTTAAAAATGTTCTACATACACTCGTAAAAGTATCTGAATATACATATGTATATATATACATATATACTATATTTGCTTCACTTAATTTGCATGATAATGGGCCAGATTTATGCATTTGTTACGCCCACTTTTATACATATTCGCATGGGATATGGGAGGCGTTAGCGTTGGCGTTGGCATGCAGCTTTCTGGCCCGAAATAAATCGCATAATTCGAAATCATTTTTGTGGCGCATAGTTTTTTTTTTTTTTTTTTTTTTCATTTTCACTTGCTTTTTTTTGGGTTTGTTGAACTTATTTCGCGTGGATTTTGTTTCGTTTCGCTGCGATTTTATTTTGAATTTCTACTTTCTAAAATATGGCTCACCACCACCACCACCCACCGTAGCCGCCACGAAGCCAACCAATTTTCGAGCGGGGCAGCTAAAATTAGTTGCAAATAATTTGCTTTGGTTGGGCTTCTTGTTCTGTTTTTAGGTTTCACATTTTCAACTCTCTGCCACGCCCGCTTACCACGTGTCAAATGTGACAGCTTTCAATGCGTTGTCAGCTCCCGATGCTAATTATGCAAATTATGTTGGCCCCAGCTAGGGTCTAGGCGCCCCTTTGACATCATTTGCATTACAAATGCGAGCGCGATTTCCCCGCCTCGCTCGTCGCTGCTTTTATGAGCACCATATGATTTATGACATTCCGACGTAATGCACATTTGCATGCAGCCAAAGAATCTGTTTCTTTTTTCCTATACGTAGTACATATTCAATATTTTGAAGAAAAATATTTATTTTTCATTTTGAGGAATAATGAGTGCAGAGTGTGTCAAACTTTGATTTCGGCGCTCGTTGCTCGTATATATAAATAAATTATTATTTTTTGTGTTCCTTCTTGTTTGTGTTTGTTTACGACTGCAGCTGTATGTCGCCTGTGTATTTGTGCGTGTGTGTGTGTGTGTTTGCCACACATTGTGGCAATCAGAAACATATTTGCCTCGCTTTTTTATTTCTGATGACACTTTGTCCACATGTTTATTCATGAAGCTAGTTGACATTTTATTGCAGTGTTAAAAAAAAAAAAAATGTATTTCTTTACAGTTAAATAAATATTTAAACAAATGAATATTACGTGAGTAGTTAGATACACGCATAGATAAATAGTATAAAAGGTTGACGGACAGACAGGTACACGTATAAATACAGGGAGAAATATTTTTATAAATGAATTATTTTAATGTATATTTAAATTATATAAATATATACTTAACTTTGTATTTATATACATAAATTAAATATGGAGCAATAGTATTTATATTTATGCTATAAATATATAAAAATACAGAGACAGATTTATGCCTAAATAATTTAGCTATACACACAAATGAATCTGTCTTCAATACTAGAAATGATTCTCCTTCATCTCTAGATAAATACCTTTATCTCTTCTGCATAATATTCTAAATCTAAATAAATAAAATATATAAATATATATTTGCTTTTATATTTCTATGAAAATATGTATGTATATAATTTATATAGATTTAAAGTATTTTAAGGTGTGTTACTTCTCCAATTTTGTGATATCTATCTAACTTTTGATACATGCTAATAAATATATATGTATAAATTTATACAATATATAAATGCAATGATTAGATTTAGATTTAATCATTGTTTTTTATATTTATGATTATATAATCATAAATGATTTTCAAGTTATTGCCAAAGTAGTTCGGCTTCAGCTCAACAAGCTCTTCTCCAATTATCTTAAAATAAAAATTGTAATCTCCTGCAAAGTCAATTCAGACCATTCAAAAACTCTTACAATAAACTATGTCCAATTCACATAAAGCCATCTATCAGCAGGCTGCAGCAAGTACAAAGCATTTTCCAAATTGTTTTTGGGTCTGCAGCGGTGCTGTGGAGCAGCGGTGCAACGGCGACAAAGTAATCCAAATCAAATCAGTTTGCTTAACTCGCATTCCAATTGGAATGCGAAGAGTTCTTTGTCTTCGCCTTTTGCCAGCTGCCAGCTCTTGACAGTTGCTGCCAGTTTAGCTCGTGACTGCATTTTCAGTTCTGCTTCTTTTTTTCATTAGTTTTCTTTTCGATTCTCACTCTTTTCGTTTTGTCATTTCCTTTTTGTCAGCACCAACGAAATTCCGAGGACATTTCTGTTGTGTTTCGATTTCGAGTTCTTATTTTACGCACTTGCAGTTTATTTTTAATGTTGCGCATTTTATTTAAATGCGGTGTCGAGTTGTCGTCTATTTATTGTTTACTTACGTGCTATTTTTAGCGAAGCGCATTTTCGTTTTCACTTAGTGAAACTGAATTAAGTGCTCAAATCCGTATATACTCGACGCTCAACAGCTGATATCACGATATCCGAAATAGCGATGATTTTCCATTCAATAAAGCACTCTATAAATACAGCCCGAACAACATCAGCTAACGCCGACTCAATTAGCCCCTACGCACATAAATATAGTAGATTTATGGCCCTCTTTCTGGAAGGGAAACTACTTTCTCAGCCGCCCAAGTACTGGAAAAACTTCCACAGCAAATTGAAAATTCACTCAAAAGTTAAAGCTAATGTTTTCAGCTAATGTACCTTGACATTTGTGCGTCTAGACGCTAAAAATAGTAACTAATTTCGTAAGATAAATAAAAGACATTTTTGAGCATTTTTAATGTTTTCCTTTTGTTATTTTTAAAACATGAAGAGGGTATACTGGTCATATCGCAAAACATGTAACATACTGACAATGAAACATAGAGAAATGAAATCAGGCTTATCCTCAATGATTTAGAATTCGGAATATAATAGATTATCAGATGAGTTGCATAAAGTTTTCATTTAGCTTCTATTGGACTAGTAACTGGTGAATCATAACAGTGAAAATACATTTAAAATAAATCATTAAATCATAAATCATTATTATCAAAATTATAACAAATCCAATTGAAATATGAAAATATACGTCTGTCATGCCAAATTATTTTCAAGGGTATTTGAAGATCGGTTTCTATTTTATTTATTGGTTTTTGGGGACATTTTTTTTATTTCTGAACGCCAACAGAGTGCAAAAAAATTTTAAGTGCAACCGGAAATGTTGATAAATATATTATAAATAGATTTTATCTATATATACATATATATGTAAATTTGCTTTTGCAGCAATTAAAATTAGTTTTGTTCTACGAATTTGGCTATAAAATTAGTTTTTAGCTTGCTCCATATTTTGTTGTTGCTTCAGTTAGGTTTGTTGTTGAAATAAAAAATGCTTTTAGAGCGTCAAAGCGTTCTGTTTATTTTGATATATAGTCAAATACACTTATGCAGACACACATAAGCGTACATACATATGTGCACACATATACATACATATAGTTAGCTAGCTATGCGGCACATGTTACGCGTATGTTTCTATTTTACGAATTTGTTTGCTCGTAAAAAAAAAAAACAGAAAAAAAAAAAAAAAAAATCATTTAAAAGTATTTTTTTGCGTTCCGTTTTTATTTAGGTATTCGCATTGATTTTGCCACTCGTGAATTTATGTATTTGTATTTGTAAAAATAGCATTAGTGTCAACACATACGCAAGCATACAAAAGAGCTCTAAGAAGCTAATTGAATTTTTATTAGCATTTTTATGATTAATCGTCATGGGAAATGCTGCTATTTTTATCATTTGTTTATGCAACAGAGCAACAAATTGTGAATTTGAGACCAAAGTTTCAAATGGCATTCAGATTTCATTTGCTATGTGTCGGCATTTGAATGATGGACGTTTGTTCTGATCTCTATATGTGTATGTAGTCATATATGTATATTCTTATATATGTATATATGTATGTATATTTGTTGCTTTCAATTTGTATAGAACATCGTTTTAATGCCAGCTCTTATATCATTCAGTGGAACTGCTGTGAGCTACAAAGTCTACAGAGCGTATCATTAAAGTTCAATTGATTTGATAATCCTTCAAGTGTTTGCTTCCAAGTAATTGATTTTTTGAGAGCTGCCACAAAACAGAACCGAATTGCAACATAATTGGCTGTTGCCGAGAAGCAAAAATAAATGCTCAAATTGGAAAAAGGAACAGCACTTTGATGGAAAACCTCGTCAATGTGAAGTGAAAAAAACAAAAACGAAAACGAAAACTAAAGTGAATTGAGTGATGGGTGAAAGGAATGTTGAGGAATTTTAATTCTATTTGTTTGAAAAAATTAAATTATTAAAAATATAGTAGAAAAAGCTTAAGCATAACTAAGTGAAAATAGAAATATATTTACCAAATATTTAATAAACCCGAAATAGTTTCATTTAATTTGTTTCACTTGCAATGAGAAGCAAAATCATTTCAATATTGTTTGACATGAGTTCATCCGTACAAAAAGCTATTCAGCTTCATATTAAATCTCATATGGTTAGCTGTAATTTAACTTTAAATATAAAACATTCCTTGATACGGAATAATTCTTGGTATTTAATTTAATAAAATGAATTTTCCGTATGCCTCGGCTGACTAGTTTTTCTTGTTTAGTTATTTGGCTAAAATAATAGACTTGAACACATGTTTAGCAGCATATTAAGCCGGACGCTGCTGGACATTTGAATAAACCACAGGCGCAACATAAATATTTGAGTGCAATTCTCAGAGCAGATTTGAGCTGTGTTTAATCTCTAATGCCTTTGACAAACAAAAGCGACAGAACGTAAATATTTGCTACGAAAGAATCACAAAAGAAAAGAGCAGCAGCTGCCAAAAAAAAAAAATTAAAAAAAAAAAATGAAAAAAACTTGAAAACAACATTTAAATTGTTTATAGCTTTGAGTTTTACCCAATTCGTATTTTCTTACATTTTTTCCATCTCTTTTTTCCGTGTTTTACTTTCGCACAAAAGAAAACTGAATGAAAGTTTGCCATGCAGCAGCAATGCAAGAGCCCAAGTACAGTAAACACTCGACAGGAAACATGTTAAAAATGTACAAGTAAATAAAGTGAGAGAACTATTCGAGGCATCTGGCAAATCCATGTAAATAAAAATAAAAGGCAAGCAAAAAATATAAGAAGATTGCGAAAATAGAGGAAAATGTGGCGATTTGGGCAGAGCATAAAACGCAATTAACGCAACAAAGAAAGAGACAAATACAAAAGACAAACGTAATGTGAAAACTTGAGCTTGAGCTAAAATTGAAATTAAAATTGAAAATAAAAAGACCACCAGTAGCAGCACAAAGAGGAACAGAGACAGAGAGAGCGAGCGAGAGAGAAGGCGCCATGAGGTTTCATTTGGCCGCTTTTTGGTTATTTTTGTTGACAGTTGGCGGCAAGCGGCAGCAGCAATTAAGCGCTGATTGTTGCCACGGGGCAGCCACTTGGGGCATGCCMACTGCAGCTGCAGCTGCAGATGCCACTGCAGCAGTTGCACCAAAGCTAAATTCAATCGATGGCCGCATCGGAAATGAGTCGCAGAACGCAACAAAATTTCGTGTGGCCGCAATTCGAACGCCAGTCGAACCTCCGCCGGTTATTGGGGACATCACAACAACGACAAAGGCAACAACAACATGGCCTTCAGCTCTAACGGATGCCACAACGCTGACGGCCAAAACAATCGCTCAGCTGGCATTCAAGTCGGCCAAGGCAAACACTTTAGAGCTGAGCTTTAAGCAGCGCATGGCTCAGCTATTCGCCAGCGAGGAGCAGCCAGAGTCCACTCTAACAACAACAACAACAGCTGCCACGSCTGACAGCGATAGCAGCACTCACCATCCGGAAAGGCGGCACGTGGTGCCCGACAAGCTGCTCTACACACCGGAGCTGCAAATCAAACAGGGTCGCCTCATGGGCATCACACGTCGCTTCCAGGTAACAAGCGGCCTGCGCGAGGTGGATCAATACTTGGGGCTGCCCTATGCGGAGGCGCCCACTGGGAGCAGGCGCTTCATGCCGCCAGGTGAGTAACATGACTCCATAGCTATAGTGATGCCAGACCAGCTGGTTTAGAGTTATATATTTGCATATCGTATTAAAGTATATATTAAAGTGCATAATAGATTAATCATAGGTATCATATTATTATCATACGTAGCTTTGTAGAATTTTTGCTGCATTTTATTTTATATGTATAACACAAAAGAAAATTTGTAGAAATATATAAAAACTAATTGTATTCTATAATTCAATTTATTGATGCGTTTATTCATTAATTCTATACTAAGTATTCTCTTATTCATAAAAAACAATTTTTTTTTTTTTTCATTAAAAGAACATACATATTAACTTAGAAAACTTTTATTAATCATCAGATGTTGTTTTTTTTTTTTTTTTTTTTTTTTTTAAATTTTGATTCTTTAATTTTATTTAATNCCCTCTACGTTGTATAACAACAAAATATTCAGTCGAGTCCCAATAACTCAAAAATGGGAAAAGGGAGTGAGTCTTTTTTTTTTTTTTTCATTTACATTTACATTTCATTTACATAGTTTTTTTTTTTTTTTAGAAATATCGAAATTTGTATTTTTATCGAGACTCGACTGATTATATGTATATATATGAGTATATACATTGATTTTTTGCTTTTTCATGATTGATTTTGATCTATCCAGCTCTTACTCCTCTCTTTTTCTATCGCCTATCTATCGTATAATATCTTCATTCACTCTCTAGATCTTCATTACGAATAAGGTTTCTTCACCCAGTCCCTAGAAATTGACAGAGCATTGAGCTGTTGCTGTTGCTGTTGCTATTGCCTTTGCTTGGGTCGTAGACATTTTAACTATTATTTATACTATTATATTATGCATATTGTACACACTATATATAAGTCGTAGCTTGTTTTCATTTCTATTGTTGGCTTGTCAATAGAGTTAACGCGCAGCATCTCCCGTCTACGTCTCCCTTCTCCAGTTCCAAATTTCCCGTTGTTTTTTAAATGTGCTTGGCGTATAAAAATTTGTATGATATGATTTTTATAGACTTCAAATCGATTTTTTTACGATCATTGCGCTGGTTTTTATGCGCTCGCCGCTGCTGCTGAGGCTGAGGCGCTGCTGGTTTATGTGACAGCTGCCAGCGGGACGGCTCCAAGTGAGTGGCTCAAGGGGGCGCGTGGAGCTGCAATTATGTAATTAGGTGTTGAGGCAAACAATATGCGTGGAGATTCAAATATTTGTCAGCTGAATATGCGTGCGTATGTGTGTGTGGGTGAACCGTTAGATGAGAACTGTTGGCCTTATCGCAGCGCTGGCATCGAGCTTGACCAAGAGAGCGCCATATGTTGGCCCAAATACAAGAAGAAGCAGAACAGACAGGCGAACACAAAATAAGTTAAAGGCAAAGCCAATATCCGGCCCAAGCTCTGATCGCTGCTTCTGCTGCTGCTGCTGCGTGCCACCTGTTGCATGCTTTTCTATGCGCGAGCAGAACATTTTTTATGTTTTTTTTTTTTTCTTTTCAAAATTTAATGTCTTTATTTTTTGCGCATTTTTTAAAATTATTTTTGCGGCAGGGTTGAGCCCGAAGCGTCATCGTTGCTGATTAATAAAGCGAGTCGGCGGCAACAGCTGCTGTGGCAATTTGTGTGCTCGCATCCAGAGAAAGGAAGAGAGAGGGAGAGAGAGTGTAAGAGAGACAGAGAGAGTCAACAATATGTAGTTTTTACATTTTAATTTTATTTTTATTAACTTAGAACTAGAGCCTAATCTCTAAGCACCAACAACTAGATCGATATTTACAAGTGTGCTGCTCCCACTGCCGCCACCCCCTCCCCAGGCGGACGGGCGATCGTTTGGCGCTCACGCCTTGTGGAGCGCATTGGCAAAGGGCGCCGCCGTAGCCGTGTGCAGTCGATGGAACTGGCAGGCGGTGCGGCAGCCGCGACTGCAGAAGATGCGATCCGCGCACATGGATCTGGCCAGGCTCCACTCTGCGACGACCAGGACGCGGCAGTAGTCGTGGCACATGTAGCAATCCGGCCGGGCGTGGCACAGCGAGGGCGATACGTCCGTCTGATGGTAGCAGCGCTGCCTGCACTGCCAGATGCGCAGTTGCTGCGCCAGTGGTAAAGGATCCGTGGAGGCGACCAGCACGAGCTGCCCGAGCAGCGCCATGATACAGACGATGGTTGCGTTTGAGAGCGTGGACGAGGACGAGCACGACATGGCTTGACTGTCTGACGTTGCCTTGGCTTCTAAATGTGTAAGGCCAGCTCCCGGCTGGTTTTATATGTCAATGGTGCCAGGCCGTTAGGCCGTTCATTCAAAAATTGGGTGGAAAATCCCAGGCTGCTGCACTACCTGGCTGCACGGCGGCTACCTGTGCATCCGGCCAGGTAATTGACAACACATGTGCGCAATGACGCCGTCGCACTGAGCCACATTTTATGAATGGCCCACAACGCTGGAAATCCCTTGGAATTTCAGCTCATTGAATCGGCGGCGAGATTTTATGGCTTGTTTAACTGTTACCTGTTCGCTGTCCGGTCTGCTCTGGCCACACGCTGTGGCTCGGGTCACCTAGTTTTGGTGACAGTTTTTATCGTTGCGTAATTCGCTCTCAACACATAAACGACTAATCCTTTGTTTCTCTGACCACGATCATAAAAGTGATGCACGTGCCGGCATCTATGGCTCATGGTGTGGGTTACTTTAAACAGGAGCTGTAGATGACGCCACCAATAAATCAATTTATAGCTACGCAACAGAGACTGGCTTACAACAGATGGCGCCAGAAATTCACCAAAGTTGCGTACACTAAGATGTTGCCGTTGGCTACATTCATTGGCATTGCATACTTTTGAGCGGGCGTTAATTGAAGGCAGTAGCTGGTTATGTTCTTTGCATGATAGATGGCGCTCTACATACTCTCTTAGCTCTTAGTTTATGTAGGCTGTGCCCACTGTTAAAAGACACAGTTCAGCTGTTCGTTTTGCGTAACCTACTATCACTCAATCGTGTGTTCCGCGTATTAGGTGCAGCTATGACCTACTTACAATAGATGGCGCCAACAATACATCATGAGATTTTGCTCCAACAACTCTTTAGCTGCATCGATCTGCTCTAATCCATGTATAAAAATAAATACGCAATCAAAATTTGTCTAACTTTGGTTATATTTTTATTCATTAACTTAACTTGTTCTGCATTTCTCTGCGTCCTTTTTTCTGCCTTCTTTCATACTCTTTGCTCATATCATTATAATATTAGTTTTACAATCTTCTGCTGTTGCCGCCGCTGCAGCAACAGTTTCGTTTTCCTTTACATCAGTTGGTTTAAACATAGCTTGAGAAAATATTTATATATTATTTATACTTTTACTTATGAACAAAAAAGAAAAAAAAAAACTCCTTTCGGGATATACTCAAATTCAAGTTGAAAAAAAAAAAAAATTTTATACTTTTACACCTTTAGACTATAAAAAAAACTCAGATTTTACGATTAATGATGCGTCTATAAATGCAATTATTGTTTTTGCATAAATAAAACTATTTTGAATATAGCTTCTTTTAATTACATTCTCATTTCCTAAAACTTACACCTGTCATCACTGTTGCGATTGGCGCATAAGCACAGGATCTATTGGTACTTAATAGCAGCAGCCGCAACGTAACGAAAATCAAAACCCAAATTGCGAACCGCATGCCGGGAAAATATTCTGACCATGTCTCAAACACATGCTGCAGGCCAATTCAGCATTCTGGCTGCAATTTAAGCAATTATCTTTCCAGGTGAGGATGCGGGTGCGGAGACACCTGGCTGAGGTTGCTGGCATGACTTGACACGTATTGCGAGCCTGCCAGACATTTGTGCAGCTAAATTGGATCCAATTGGAAGTTATTGTTGCAATGAAAATGTTTGTCGACTCGAGTATTTCTCGAATGCGTGCACAGCCCAAATGTGTTTATGGAATATATGTGCAGCTCTGCGTATCATATTTTTGTTTGTTTTATAATTGGGTTTCTCAGTGCCGGCGAGTACCAAATATGCATGCTAATTACGCACATACAAATTGCAAATATTTGCCAATTATGCGCTTGTTGAATGTCGAATGCCAAATGAGAATTGTAGTAAATACCGAGAGACTGGGCCAAGTTATTTCCGGCTATTGAGTGGCTGGCCAAGACAGTCGGACAGCCAGGACATTGCCATGCAAAAACCACAATCTACCAACGGCATACACAAGTGCACAAACAGGATACGGCTCGACTCAGTCCGGGCCACAATAAATTATGTGGCAACAAAATCTTGCACCACCCAAAGCCACAGGCCATAACAAAAGTGCCTGTCACCAATTCTATTTGTCTGTGTGTGTGTAAGTGTATCTCGTCTGTGTGTGTGTGTGTGTGTGTGCGGTGCAAAGTGCTTGCCACCGCGTTGCGTTTATTGAGCACTTGAGTGGCGCACACTCAATCCATGCAGCAAGTGCAGCAGTAACGGAAGACGGCGGACAGGCCGTGGCTGCTGCTGAGCTCAACACTGACGCCATATTTGTCAGCGGAAACTGTTCCTCTTTTTGTACAGCTCGTGGTTGTTGTTGCTGTTGGTGTTGCAAACATGTCGACGCGCTGTTGCAACAATAGGGCGCAGAGTTTTGCCTGGCAAATTCAAAGCCAATGCAAATACGAGATTCCTTTGCGTAAATATGTGTTGTATGTACAGTTGAAACACACACCCAAACACAAACAAAAACACCCACACACACACATACACACAGTCACACACAGCACACGCACACTTTCGAGCAAATAGAAAAAGTTGTCGAAAACACGTCGCAAATTGGTTCGCCAGCATTTGTATTTTCTCTCTTCTCGCTGCTCTGGGGAATCGCGCGGGGCTTTATTTATATACTAACAGCGCTTCCTATTGCCTGTTGCGAAAATTATTAATAACAAAATGCAAATAACGCCACCGACTGACGCGCAGTGCCCCCTTGCCCCGCCCATGTTGCCATGCCTCGTTTGCTGTTTATTGTTGCGGCTCACACAAACACACACACTCCAACACCAACACCCACACAGACACACAAAGCTATGTGACCATGTGCACCAAGATTTCGCTCGCTCTTTGTTTTATGGGCGTCATAACATAACGCGCCGCGTTCGACAGGCGAAATGAAATTTGTTCGACTCGTATATGTCAAAGTGTAAATGCTGCATATCTGGAATGTTTTGAGATGCCTGAAATTGCCTCGCAATGTAATCGCAAAGAAAGACAATGAATGAGAAGGAGAAAGACAAAGAAAGAATGAGAGAGAGAGAGAGAGAGAGAGAGAATAGTTGTGAAAATAGTGCACGAGAGAGAGAGAGAGAGAGAGGTTACGGTTAACGTAATGAAACTTGTCTAAGAGAGAGAGAGAGAGAAATTTGTTGTCTATAGAATATTTATATCACGCATCAGCAGATATTTCGCCCTTTAATCATATTATTTTAAATAAACAAATTTGCTGTTTTATACAGTACATTTAGGAATGCCGAAAAATCAGACGCTAATCAACCAAAATATTTAATTGTTTGCAAATGTTTTAATTATTTAGTTTAATCAGATTTTCGTGAAATCCCTGATATAAATGCATTGACCATTGCGTTTAATTTATAAGGAATTTATCAATTAATAATGTTAATAATATTAATTTTGAACGATACAGATTATAAATCCTTTTGATAATTCGATAATTTTTAAACATAAATGTAAAGGCAAATAAATTAAAAACAGAGACCGAAGCAGAACATTATATATGTTTATATAAATGTAGATATGTGTGCACTTGGAGTAACTGAGCGTGACACCTTTAAAGAGATGATAAACTTAACAGAGATTATATTACGAGTGATTTTTGGTAGAAACGCCAATCCAATAAACAAATGGACTATCATATAATTTACATAGTAATATTGGGTTTAACTGTGGCTTGCTATATCCTAGATGCTAAGCATTTGAAATATATACTTGTCGAAGCAAGTAGTATTAATATGTTGGCGAGCACTACAATTGTGCTTACTACCTACTCGCATATTTTCCCTTTTCTGTATGCYTTCGCACTTATGCGTGTGRTTGTAGTGTCGGTGTGTAATGAGGTTGTATRTRTGTGGTTRTAGTTTTCGGCTATTTTCCAAGAATTGATTTCATCATATTGCATCAGCCAATATTTGTATTTTGTCGCTTAAGAAGTACCGTTTTAGCGGGGCGACAGCGTTGTGTCGCTGTCGCCGAGTGAGGTTCGATGGTAGGCACAAAGAATAATTGAGATAAAAAAGTTATCGGATTATTTATCGAAAAAATAAAGCAAACTCGTACTGCATATGGTACTCACGAGTATGCATGCCAAATTTCAGCTCTCTAGCTCTTATAGCTTCTAAGATCGACGCACTCATACGGACGGACAGACGGACAGGGCTATATCGACTCAGCTCGTCGCGCTGATCAAGAATATATAAACTTTGTGGGGTCTGCCACGCCTCCTTCTGCCCGTTACATACTTTTTCACAAAACCATTATACCCTGATTTCCCATTTTCAATGGGTTCAAGATGTTTTTCTAAAACATTTAAATATTTCCATAAATATTTAAAATATACTTCCATGGACAACCCAAGGCAAATTTTCTAAAACTTTGATAATTATAAATTCACAATCTAATACTTAAAGTACCATCGGCAATGTTCTTATATATTTACACTGCTGACAGTTCTTCGATGCCATATTATTAGCCACTTACAATATTATCCTTTCTTTAAAATACTTATATTAATATTTGAAATAGCATATTAGCTTAATAAGAATTTAGCATCAGACTATCTAATGCTTCATATAACTTTAATCCACATACCCAATGCCAATGCTTCGAAACCTCGTTAATGAAAATATTATCTCAAATATTGTCGAAGTCGATATCTAGCTGCAGTTGGTAAATTTGCATATTAATTCGTTGGCAAAACTGCATTAAAATTCCATTTTGCGCTTGATAACCCGATCGAAATTTGCATAGCTGTGCGAAATGTTTCCATTTGAATCTTTGGCCAAATATTGTCAGCGACTAACCACTGCACAAACCAAACCAAGCCAAGCCAAGCTACTGCGATTGGCTGTCCGCTGATGTGGCACGAAGTGTGTCATGTGGCATGCTTAGTGTCTATGTGTGTTTCAGCTGGCTGCTGCAGCAACAATGCAACGGAACCGAAACTAAGTTGACCAAATCGTGGTCACAATTGCCCCACATAAGTTCCACTCACATGCAATGCAAAGCAATGCAAAGGAATGCGACGCGATGCGAGGCGACGTTAACTGAAATGCCAAAAACCCAACCGCAGTCAACTTGGCCACAGTGTCCCGAGTGTCCGCTGCAGGAAGTGTCCTGTTCATGTTGCCTCTCAATGTGCACGAGTGTGAATGCCGGCGTGGCGCTGGCTGTGAGCTCGCATGCGGCTGTCTACTTGTTTACGGCACTTCCAAGTGCCCGTTGACCGTGCTACATAAATACGAAATTGACTTTGTGCTCCCCAAATGCCACGCAAACCAATCGAATTCTTGTTTTTCCGCGGCAGCCGGAATAGAGACAAAGAGTGGATAGATAGGGAGTGCGAGAGAGTGAGAGGGAGAGGGGAAAGAGAATATAACCAAGCGTGGAATCGTTGGTTATAACTGGCACAGTGGGCCATTCCCAGTTATGTTAGATACGAATTTGTTACATGCTAATCAGTTTTAGGAATTGCAATCGAGTAATACTTGAAATTATTTAATATAATAAAAAGTTACGGTCGATTACCAGCGATTGCATAAACTCATTTACCTATTCCATGTTTAAGGTAGATAAAAGGGGATAGGAAGTAATCTGTCATCTGGAGAACTAGAAACTCATCTGTCATATCTACTATAGAATATATTGTATAATATAGTGCAGAGGCGATATACAGTAATTTTTTAACTAAAAAGTTTGAGAGATTTGATAAAACTTTATAATATTATACATTGACAAGGCAGATAAAAAAAGAGTAACGTATATTGGTTCTTTAATTTTAAAATTGCTGTTCAAGAACATACATGAACATAGAAACATAATAAATATGAGAGCATACCCTCTGAGCACTCAACGGCTAACATACATAAAATATATACCATGTGTGACATGTATGGACTCTCAAGGTAGATAGATGAAGTGTGTGCAATCCTAGCGACAAGACTAGAATATGTAAGGGACTGAGTCTTACAAACTCAGCGATAGGATAAGATTATGTAATAGACCAATGCTGAGCCTTACAATAAATAGACTTTCAAATTGGGTTGTGTTATTATCGGTAACTTAACTGTTCGATTTTAATTTTAACGTTAAAAGATAAAAACTTTCATGATCTTATGGTACACCTCTTGTAGGCATAGGTACTTCTGCCATATATCCTTGTTCTAGGCTTACCGTTCATAAACTAAAACTAAACAATATAAGTTTCCCTCCATAGATGACAATTTGTATTTAAAAGACTTTGATATGCATTAATATTTGAAGCTACTGTTGAGAACAAATTAGTATTTAATATATTAAAATGTAATAAGATCATAGATAAAATAAATAAATAAATATAGATAATTAAAAAAATGTTATAATTATT